TATATATGTGTGTGTGTGTGTGTGTGTGTGTGTGTGTGTGTGAGTTTTAAAAAGTATAGAATTATATATCAGCTTTCGAATATTTGTAGCTTACAAACTATTTATTTATTTGTCTTTAATTTATATATCATCTTTATATTACTGCAGTAACATGAAAATAATTATTGATTTATCAGTATTGGTCTGAATTTCAATATCTGTTCATCCCTTTTCCCAACTCTATCCCAAACTAGTGTGAATCTTGTTGAGCATGGCCTCCTGCAGAGTTTAAGAACAATGTCTTCTTGAAGATGTTCCTCCAATGTTTCACACTTACCAGAGCTCCAGGAGTGCCCGGAGTGCCTGGAATACCCTGAAGAACAGAAAAAAAGGTGAAAAGGACACTATGTGTTAAAAACAGTAAGTCAGTGAGACAGGACAGAGGTATTGACACAAGAAAATATCTAATGAGCAGCTCCTGTCTTCCTGAACAAGAGAATAAATCCCTAATGAACTGCCTGAGATGAAAGAAGACCAAAGAAGAAGTGTTTCATTAGTTTGTGCTTAAGACGGAGCTGCTGAAGTCTAAGGAACAGCTCTAATGGAGTTTCACACGTGACTTGTAGGACAGGAAAAACTCTGGACCATAGAAGATATCAATTCAAAAGAGTATGAGTTAAAAAGTATTGTACCAACTGATAATCATTTTGATTTGAGGATCGCTACATTGAATGAATAGGAAAATGTAATTGTTATGAAATGTTATGAAATATTAAATGTTATGACAGTATATGTCATCAAGTTGCATTTCCTATTTTTCATAAAAAAAATGAATAATGAATTAATCATTAACAATTAAAATGAATAATAAATGAATACTAAATAAATAATAATATATTAAATTAATTAATAAATAAATAATTAAAATGAAATGAAAAATAAACGAAGCATTTGCCATTTTTTGTGTATAATACACATCAGATAGCCAGTGAACACTGTTGCCAATTTCTCATATGAACATATCAAGAGGACTTTTCAAAATTTGTATTAGTCAAATATTTTAATGAGCAGAAAGACTTGCATCTCTCCCGTCTCTGCCAGGTTCTCCTTGGGGTCCACGAGGCCCCTCAGGACCCTCAGGACCAGGGGGACCAGGGATCGGCTTGGGATCCGGCTGTAACAGGTTGAAGGTGCAAAAGAAGGAAAACGATGAGTAAACATAAACATGAACTTTTTAGAATTCATTCGATTATTTGCTTTACCAAATATAATCAATGTTTCACTGAACGCCAAAATCAATAACTGGAATGGCTGCAAATAATCTCTCTCTCCCAAGGACCATAATTACTTTACATTTAGAATTTTGGGGCCAATTTTATTCTCTATCTATATAAATGAACTTGGTAAAGGAGTTGAGCCAGCAAATGTACACTTTTATGCAGATGATACTATCATCTACACTATGGCTCCATCTTTAAAAGTGGCAATGGACTCAGAATGCTTTTAATTCATTTCAGACTTCTCTTGGTAACTTAAAATTAGTGTTAAATGCTAAAAAAACTAAATACATGATTTTTACAGAGTCCAGATTATCAGTAAATGATTTTATGATTCAAACTTTAAATGGTACACAGATTGAAAGGGTTGCACCTTACAAATATCTTGATATCTGGCTCGATGATAAACTGACTTATAGTTCTCATATCGATAGTCTTTTAAAGAAATTGAGACCGACGTTAGGTTTTTATTTTCGTTCAAAAAAAATATTTCTCCTTTTTTGCTCAAACGTTTAGTAGAAAGTACTCTTCTATCAGTATTGGACTATGGTGATATAATTTATATGCATGCACCTCTGAATGTTTTGAAAAAAATGGATGTAGTTTATCATGCTGCTTTATGATTTGTTACTGGTACAAGTGTCCGCGCACATCACTGTAATTTATATGAAATGACAAAATGGACTTCATTGCGCTTAAGGAGAAAAAAACAAATGTTCATTTTTATTTTAAAAGCTTTAGTGGGTAAATTACCACAGTGTATATCTAGTTTGTTGACATATTGCACAAATATTTATAATACCAGATCAACAGATAAACTCTTACGTAAGATGCCGATTTTTCATACAGAGATAGGTCGTTCTGCTTTTTCTAATTATGCTCCGTATGTATGGTTGGCACATTACATATGGAATCTGTACCATCTCTGGCTATGTTTAAAAATATTTTAAAGTCTGTTTACATAGAACAGTGTACATGTTTTAATAACTGACTAGGATTTGTATTGTTTTTAGAAAATTGTGTTTTATGTGTATTTCTTTGTAACTTTGTCCTTTGCTGTCTATCTTGACCAGGACTCCCTGGTAGAAGAGATATTGTATCTCAATGGGACCTTCCTGGTTAAACAAGTAAATAAATCAATTTAACACAATAAAGAATAAACTATAAATCATTAGCTCTCTGCTGCCAACTTCCCTTTATTAGCTTAAGCTTCAAGCAAGCTAAGGAACAACACATTTAGAAAGTAATTTGGATGGTTAAGTAAAATTCCCAGAAAAGTTCTTAATAAAATAACACATTATTTACTTGGTGGCATTAATAACCTCTAGTATATAAATGCATAAAAGCTGTTCCGGGTCTTGTTTTGTTGATTGCAGTAAGTATAGCAGGTAGCAAATGAGTCAATTCAGCAACAAAGCATTGTAGTAGATTATTTGCTTAAATAATAATTTATTAATTGATTAAAAAAAGAAAAATCAAATACCTCAGCATTGGCATACATCTGAAGAAGCAAGAGAGAGAGAGAGAATTAAGATTATTGCAGTTAGTGAAAATGAAACCCCTTCACCAAAAAGAGAAAGCACACCTGTAGATGGCGCCACAACATGCGGCCTACGATACCGCCCCACCGGCCAACTCATCCAAAAACAAAGCAAATGCATGAACAATGTTCAATGGAAAAGTGAGATGTTATGAGGTCTTTTGAAGAAACTAGCTTTTTCAGACTGCCATAGCAATAATCTATCAATATTTTTTAGGCCATACCTTGGTTATGCAGCACATATATTAGAATAATACTGTTGATTATTTATGCAGAATTGTAAATAAAGTTTTAACTTGTACAATTATATTTGCCATTTCAAAAAACTAATTAAATGGATAATTCACCCAGAAATGAAAATTAAGTCCTTGTATGGGTTTCTTTCTTCTGTTAAGCACAAAGGAGGATATTTTGAAGAATGTTGGCAACCAAACTGGTAGCCATTGTATTACATAGTATGGGGGGAAAAAAACTATGGAAGTCAATGGCTACCATTAACTGTTCGGTTACCAACATTCTTCAATCAATCAATCTTTTTTTTTTGTTTTTTTACCAAACAGTTGATGATAGACATTGCCTTCCATGTTATGAAAAAAAAAAAAACTATGGAAGTCAACGGCTACCGTAAAAATTTTTGGTAACCAACATTCTTCAAAACATCTTTTGTGTTCAAGTTTGGAGGCTCAACTCGAGAGTAAATGATGACAGAAATTTAATTTTGGGTGAACTAACCCTTTAAACCAGCCTAAGGTGGTTTGATGATCTTAGCTGGCAAGGTTTGATAGTTTTAGAGGAGTTTTGAGTGCTTGCTGATAAGGGTGGGAGACCAACAAACCACTTTTCAGTCTTTTAGCAGGTAACTGACCTGATTTTTCCATATGTAAGTGGTTAAGCACAACAAAAAATACTGTGATTGGTCAGCTTCTCATTTAAGACAAAACTGGAAGTGATAAAAGCATAGTTACCTCCGACGGAGGAAGTTCTGTACAGCCCTCTCTCTGAGCTCTCTTTGGGTCACAATGAATCAGCATCCACTGCAACTCAAACTGAAAAAACACAAAACAATCAAGTTATTTCTTTATTTGAGTACATAACCGAATCCTAAACCACAAGGCTTTTATGATTTACATTTATCAGAATTAGGTTTTCATTGTAAGATGTGACTGACAGCACTATCAGACTTATTTTTATCTGTGCTTTGGACAGGAAGTTACAAGGTGCCGCCGAGGTCCTACAATCTGGCAGTTACGCTGACTGATGGTAACACATATCAGACAGTGTGACAGTTACACAGACTGACAGTCACATTTATCACAGGTAGAGACTGTAACAGGATGTGATGGATTTCATAGGTGCAGGGTGACAGTAACATTCATCAAATACAGTAGAGATCCACTGCAAAACCTAATCAAAAAATTAAATTACCCTAAAAAAACCCTTCCAAAAAAATTCAATTTTAGAAAAAAGTATGTACATTTTATTTATAGAGTACATTTAAATTCAGCTTACACTGACTAAAGTGCTGTACAGAACAATCATAAAAGATAACAGTTACTAATCCATACGTTAATAACCAGGAACGGCTATAGAGTAAAGATGTGTCTTAAGTCTAGATTTGAAAACAGAAATAGAAGAAGTACACTTAATGTCAGGTGGCAACTGAATGCATAACCGTGGAGCAGCAACTGCAAAGGCTCTGTCACCTTTCAATTTAAGTTGTGACTGTGGAACATATAAAAGAGCCTTACTGGCAGATATGAGGGACTTAGGAGCTGAATTAAAAAAAAAAGAAAAAGATCAGAGATGGAAGATGGGGCTTGTCCATTAAGAGCTTTAAAAACAATCAGCAAAATTTTGAATTGAATTCTAAAAAAGACAGGAAGCCAGTGATGTGATAAACGCATAAATTACCTTGTCCAAGTCTTGAAAGGAAAGTGTCAATTTAAGTCTGGAAATGATTCTCAATTGGTAGTAGCTGTTTTTAACAACTGAGCTAATTTGCTTTTCAAGACAAAGCTCAGAGTCAAAGATAACACCTAAATTTTTTGCATGTGACAACATATGGAGTAAGATTGTTTAAGTTAACTGGCTATAGAGTTTCTAGTTTTGGTGGGACCAAAGATGATCACCTCAGTTTTCTCATTGTTAAGCTGGAGGAAATTATTTGCCATCCAGAATTTAATATCCTCAAGACAGTCCATGAGAGGCTGCAGAGAATGTCTAGATTTTAATGGAGCTGAGAATCATCAGCATAGAAATGAAAATACATTTTATATTTCCTAATTAAATTACCGAGTGGAAGCATGTACAGATTAAAGAGTAATGGTCCCAATATTGACCCTTGAGGAACCCCACAGGAGAGAGAAACAGATGATAAGAAAAACTGGCTGAGAATGTCTCAATGACTCAAACCACAGTAATGCCTTAGTAATGCCACGTAAATAAATAGCCAATGCAATACTTAATTTTAAACGTATCTAACAGTGTGACAGTTACACAGAAAATTAAATTAACCCTTCCAAAACTTGAGCGTTACAAAGAATTAACCCTGCCAAAGAAAGACATGTACAATACATGTAATTAATAGCATGTGACTACATCATTTTAAACATATCTAAAAAAATATATATAAATTTCTTATTTTTCTGATTTCTACTATTCATATCGTAATGGATAATTATTATTAATAACTAACTAACTAACTAACTAACTAAATAAATAGCCAATTCAATAAATTTTTCTACATCATTTACATGCAAATCTATTTTTTTCTACATCATTTACATGCAAATCTATCTATATTTATATTCAAGGTTTTATAAGTAAAACCTTTTTAGTGAACCTTTAGGAAAGTTAAATATATTAATAAATATTCAAGACTGAACTGGTGACTCTCACCACTACAGAGGTGTTGGGATCAGAATCCAGTCTTCCGATCAGAGTGTCTCCCTCCGTGTTGACATAGCCTTTCCTCTTGATGGGTTTCTGGTCCACCGGGTGACAGTCCACGTACAGCGTCACCAGCTCCTTCTCCACACCAACCATCACTTTGTGCCATTTTGTGTTGAAGAGGACAGAAAGGCCTGGGAAGGTGACAGTCTGCACATCTCCTTCCATAGTGGTGAGGAAGAACTCCAGGGCCTGCTGCTCTCCATTCAGACGCATACCTGCCTGCTTCAAACCGTCTTCATCCACCACCTGCCAGATGTTCCACACCTTGTTGACGGTGTTCTTGATCATGCGGAAGGTGGTCATAAAGGAGTACTCATCTGGGAAGCCCCTTGGAAAATTCAGCCTGGTGGGCAGCAAATATGGATATATGTTGAACATACA